GGGGGGGGGGGGGGGGGGGGGGGGGGGGGGGGGCTTACTCTGGAGGTCACAACAGTGCGGAGCCCTCACTCACGCGCTGGAGGATCCGACAACCAAATGCAGAACACGCCCGCACTCAAGAAGCCCATACTTCTGCCAGGGGCAATTTTCTTGCATTATCTGTGCGGCAATCCCAAAATCGACTTTACCAGGTGTTGGTGTTTGTGTAGGATTCTTGACTGAGCATCTGTTTCTTATGGTCAAGGTCTTCTAGATATAGTTAAGGCCCGATGTCTGAACTGCCACCGTCTCAAACGGGCGCCAACTTCTGCAACAACGAAACTTAGGAGGCGTGGGCAGTCAGAAGAGGAGAGGGCAGGTACAGTACACCAACTCATAATCGCTGGGCGACGTGGTGCCGAGCAGTGTATCTGATTCCCTTGCCAAAAGCCCCATGATACATCAAGCATACATTCGTCTGAACACTGAACACACATTGCGTGCATGTTTGCCGTCAGACTTTCGAGGTTGTGGCTAAAAATCAAACGAAATGATTCGGGCAGCGACGGTCATCGGCGAGCAAAAAAACGCGAAACGTGGATACATGGAACGTTGCTGCAACCCAACACTTGCGAGAGGCTAACTCCGACGAGTGGTGGGACATATGTGTCAGCATGTTCGAGGTGTGCCACTTTAGTGCCGAAAAACGGTGTAAACGCATCCCCACGTCCTGTTTCTTCCGTCGCCAGTTCCACAGCGGGCGTACCGAGTAGCAAGCCTAACCGACGTTTAGCATTCCTGGGTCAACACATGCCTCATCCGGGGGTCGATATCAGACCGATGCAAAGAGCTTGGCAAAAAACGCAATCGCTCACTCTCCTGTCAACCAGCAATCGCGACTTTTCAGATCCCTCAACCTGTGGAGGACCTCAAAAACGCTCAAAATCGTTGCCACAAGGCACGGACAAGCGCAAGGAAGCTTTTCACGCATTTTTCATGCGCTACACACGCACTAGACAAACGAAGACCTAGACATGTAGGCATGCATGGTACACGGTTTCACCGTTTGTTGCAAGACATCGGGGCAAGTAAATCCCGTCGGGGATGCGAGGGCTGAAACCGTCTGTCTGTGTGGCTGCTCTGGATTCTTCCAGATGTGACGAAGAATACAGAGAGGTAGACAGGCTACGGCTGTTGAAGAGAGGCGGAAAGAAATGACGGGAAAGATGGGACTACCCGACACAAGGACAGCGAGGACAAAAAAACACACCTGCAAGGCAGAGCTGTAGCTCTTTCCGCTGGGCGGAATCCCGTCCTGCACCATCATCTCCAACACGCTCATTACTTTGTCCCTCTGCCTCCCGTGTCTGCACGCCTGCGGCGCGACAAAATAAGCGGGGAAAGAGTCGACCGGAGTTCAGGCATACAGCAAGTAGCAGTCCATAACTTCGACACGACCATGTCGCTGATACATGGCTTCGTTCACCATCATTCCATCGAATTTGATGAAGCACATCCAGCTGTTGAGGGCAGTAATGGGCGAATACCGTGTCGGAGCAGAACTCAAAGGGTTGTCGAACCGACAAGAGACCCGCCGCCCCGATGCGGTGGCACACCGAGAACAATCCAAAGCACTCGATGTACCGCAACACGGAGCATAACCACAGTAGAGTTTACGCCGAAGGCTCTTTCAGTGGTTCCACAACTTTCGGCGTTACAGCAGCGAAGATGAGGATGCGTTGTTCAAAGGAATGAACAGAAGCGTCAACACCGAGGTTGTCACTCTGGTTTCCGACGCAAAAACTGTACATGAGGGTGCCAGCACCCATCGTCGGTAGAGCATTTCAAGAGAAAAAAACTCCACAACAAACCAAGGGCGCACGTACATTCAGGCAGATGTTAAAGCTGCTCCGACTGGGCGCGAGCCTGCCCCCGGCCTTCCTCATCGTGCGCAGGAGCTCAAGCGCGCCGTGCCCGTCTCTGCCCGTGGCGTAGGCGGCCAGCGCCTGGTTGTACGCACCCCGGGAGAGCAGGGACCGCGGGTTCTTCGCCTCGGTGGCGGCAGCCACAGCAAGCAGTGCCGCCTCGCGCCTCCGGGCCCTCTCAAACGCGGCCACCGCCGTTCTCCACCCGCCCTGGCCAATGAGGTGCTCCAGGTGGCCGGGGAGCTGCGCCGGTGCCACGGGCCGTTGGCGAGGTAGGGTGGTGGCCGTGGACGTTGTTGGTGTTGCCGGAGAGACGGCTGCCGTACGGGCACCGTTGCGGCCACCGTTCGGCGCAGGCTGCTGCTGCTGCTGCTGCTGCTGCTGCTCCCCTTGTGTCGATGGAAGGCCGCTGCTCCCTGTCTGTTCCTGCTGCCGCTGCTGCCGCCGCTGCTGTTGTTTAACCTGAAAGCGAACAGCCCCGCTGGTGGGGCTGTTCGCTGCCGCTTGCACATTTCCGTTTCGCAACGTCGACGGAAGGAGGTCGTTGGCGGCAGTTGGAGCACTGGCGATTCTGCTGTTGCTACTGCTGCTGCTGCTGCTGCTTGTGGCCGATCCCCCGTTGCGTGCCAGCGACGCCGTTGGCAGCAGCAGGCCAGCAGCCGACGACGGTAACGGCCGGACAGGAGAGGTTCTGCGAGCGTCTTGAGTCGGGGGGGGTTTACCTTGGCTACCGCGTGCCTGGTGGTACAACGGACGTACATGCCTGGCATTGGGATGTTGCTGTTGCTTCGTGGTGAAACCGGTGGGGTCTAGGAACGCTGCCGGCGTGGCAGCGCCTTCGCAGATGATCATGTTCATCATCGGCTGCTGCTGCTGCTGCTGCTGCTGCTGCTGCTGTGTGGCATCAGCATAATGCGGGCTGCTGCTGGCAAGGAATGCAATAACGGAACTGCTAGCTTGATTCTGAAGGCACGTGAGCCTCTTCCTAGGTCTTCCATCTCCCTTCTGTCGCCGCTGCTGCATCGGGAGGTCCAGCTGCTCGCTGCTGGTGTCTTGTATGTTGACTGCTGTTGATGCTGGCTAGGCTGCGGCGCGCACAACGTCAATGGCGCTCCGTAGAACAGAAAGCGGGTATATGCAGGTACAAATGCGCGTGTGCGTATCCCCTGGCTCATGATCGATCTGAACGTGCATGGTGCCATGTCGGTCAATCGCAACCCCATTTTGCTTGTCTTCTGGGGTTCTTCTGCATTACTGCGATGGGCATGGCATCTCTCCGGCTCACAATCTCACAATTCTGTGGCCTTGGTGTTTTTCAAGCGCAGCTGGTGAGAGAGCAAGCCACAGCCCTAGCGGTAGTAGAGTAGGTTGCCCCAATTTTCACATGTGTACGGTCGACGCTGTAGGTCTACTCGTACGTTGCACGCCGCCCAATCGCCAAAAAGCCACGCGACCTCATCCCAGCGCTCAAAGAGGATCTTGGCACCGTCCATCACGACCATCCACCGCGTTTCAGCCGGCCTTATGAACTTTTTGGTCCATGGCTTCGCGGCGGGAAACTCGTCTGCAACGAGCTTCTGCCATCGCAGAAAATTCGTGTTCGAGGAATTTGATCTGCTCGTGTTGTACCAGACCATGCCGAGGAGCGACAAAACATGCGAGGTCCCCCACTCGTGCCACGAACCCTTACCGAGCGGCCGCGTTTCAGCAGGCCTTATGCATATTAACTTTTTGGTCCATGGCTTCGCGGCGGGAAACTCGTCTGCAACGAGCTTCTGCCATCGCAGTGCTGAAACGCGGTGGATGGTCGTGATGGACGGTGCCAAGATCCTCTTTGAGCGCTGGGATGAGATCGCGTGGCTTTTTGGCGATTTGGCGGCGTGCAACATCGGCAAAACCGCGTACAGAAATTACTGGCTAAAATTCGCGGTCGCGCTTGAAGACCCGCTGATCCTTGTGCAAGTGATTTTTGCGGCACGTCTTGGAGAGCTTGTGTTCGACTGGGCGTACAACTGGATTCGTGGCAAGGGGGGGTTCTTTCTGAAGGGCGAGGGAGTCGGTCGGCGACTGTTTCCTGGGATGCGGCTGGTCGAGGTTGCTGACTTCTCGTGACTGCTGCTGCAAAAAGTGGAGACTATCCGCAAGGAGCCCAACACCTATGTTCGGGTGCTGCTCGAGCGCGTGGACGAGGGCAGCCTGAGCGAGGTAAGCGGCCAAGGGCCTGAAAAGGTAGTTGGTTTCAAGCACATTGGGGTTTAGGTTGAACGCTGCCGCATTTTTCACTGCTACTTTACTGCTGCTGCTGCTGCTGCTGCTGCTGTACGAATCGGCTTTGACACATGCATGTGCAAAATGTTCCCCGCCGCTGCCTCCCGCCGTTTTTTTTTTTGCGGTGATTACGTGATGATTCGACGACACACATGCCTTTTCTATCCTGTTAAATGTTGTTGCTGCTGCTGCTGCTGCTGCTGCTGCTATGATAGAGCGATGCCAATGCTTATCTTTCACCGCTTGAACTGCGCGCACTCGCTGCTGTGATAAAGGCGGAGAAGAAACACTTTATGGTGAACTTCAGCGAGGACAGGTTTTTTTTTGCGGAGTTCAAGATGCGGTGGATCAAGTGGATGCAGCAGCATCAGGAGCTACCTTTGAGCATGGCGCGGATTGGTTGCCCATCGTCTTACGCGCGGATGGGGATAATGGGGAAGGGGCTGGTAGAGCAGGCGGTGGGGCCGGGGTATGCACGTGCATTTCTGCATATTCGGTAGCCTGAACGATACGAGGGAGAGCCGCGCTCGGAGAGGGAGATAGAGTACCGCGTGCAGCTCGGGAAAGATTTTGGGGGGGTCATCGACGCAAGGAAGAAAGATGAGTTGACGTTTGGTCTTTTCTCGATTGTGGAGGAGGATGCAGAAATGAGGTGTGAGGTAGAAGGATATGCGGAGTCTGGGTTTGGGGACAAGGAGGTTGATGAGGAAGCAGAGAAGGGTACAACTGCGCTGGTGCGTCTTTTCGAAAAATTCCCTCGCTTGTACAAGTTCGTGTGTGTGCGCTTCTACTTCGTGCCTATTCACCAGCAGTTGATCGAGGCCATCTTTTCTAAGTACGACACGTGCGCAAAGAGAACGGACGTGGCTGTGATGGATTCCGTTCGGGTTGGGAGTTGGCAAACCGAAGAGTCCAGAGATATCCCAAGCAGTGGTGCCACCGGCAGTGAAATTCGTGCGGCCGGCACCAGGAGGCTGGCTGGGTGGAGAAAAGCGAAGGCGGCGGCCCTCGCAGAACACCCAGCCGGAAACGCAAAGAGAAAGAGAGTTTTGGATACGGAAACTGGGCGGGCGATGGTGGAAGAGATGAAGCGGGAAGGGGGTTTGCCGACTCGGAGTGGTGTGCACGCTGACCAAACGTAGGTGTGTTGTGTGTGACGTGGATTTTTGTCACCGGAAAAAAAAAAAACTCCGCACCAAAAATCATGTCGACTTTTTGTACCCTGCTGGGTGCGCCACCACCTTCTGCATTCTGCGAAGGCTGCAGCCAGTTAGCTGCAGAGAGACACCGAGAGAGCCGAGTATCGGTTGTGGTGTTCTGTCGCGTTGAAAACCATGCCATCACACGTGTTTCATTATTGATGCCTGCTTATCATGCTGACACACACAAACTTCGCGCGCAATTTGCGCCCCCAAGTTGAAGTTGAACTGCAGCACAAAACCGACGCAACTCACGCCGACCAAAAGCAATCCAGAACCCTGCCACGCCTGCAAGAGCTATCACAGCACATCACAGCTCTCGATACAACCAGGCACGCAACCATCTTCGCGAGAACCACGTGCATGCATAGCTGCAAGATGCATACCAAAACAAAAAAAAGTCAGCTCTCCTCACAGCTTTCCTCCGAGCTCCCCCCCCCGTCCCCTTCTTGTGCCTTCGTAGACAGCGTCCTTTCGCGACCACTCCTCCTCAGGGTAGTGGCTGCTGCTGCAGTAGTAGGCGCCGTTGCTTTTCCTTTTCCCTTGCCCTTTCCTTTCCCCCTCCGGTCGCCTGTCCGCCTTGCAACCCTCTCCGCTACACGCTTCTTCGCTCGCGCACTCTGATCATCAGGAGAGAGCAGCAGCGGAGAGATTTTTTTTAGACGCATCATTCAGCAACGAAGTACATTTTTTTTTACGATTGAGATATCTATGTATATAAAACGCAACCGCGTCGCTCAGCGACAGCATGGCACTCATGACATCAACAGCAGCAGTTGTACCCGGACCAAACCATCAGTAAAACAATAATAGCAGCAGCAGAACTCTTGGCATATCAGACACACGACAGCACGCACGCACGCACGCACGCACACGAAAAAAAAATTGCCCGCGAAAAAATATTGCCTCTCTTGCACACACACCTTTTTTTTCTCGGCCGAATTCTTGCTCTCCAGCTCCTCCATCTTCGCCCCCAGAGCATCCACCTTCCGCTGCAGCCTCGCAACCCTAAACCTCTCGAGCTGGAGTTCATCCTCGAGGTTACGGATGCTGCCCTCCTCCGGCGTCGTCGTCGGTTCGGTTTCGAGCGGCGCGTCGAGATCGCCCCCAGAGCATCCACCTTCCGCTGCAGCCTCGCAACCCTAAACCTCTCGAGCTGGAGTTCATCCTCGAGGTTACGGATGCTGCCCTCCTCCGGCGTCGCCGTCGGTTCGGTTTCGAGCGGCGCGTCGAGAGACCCCCAAAGCACGGCCGTTGTTTTGCGGAGCTTTTTTGCGGAGCCTCGCAAACGGGTCAGCTCTTCTTTCATCTCGCGGTTTCTGTCCTCCATCCTGCGCCGCTCCGCCTCCGCCTTCGCCTTGTCTCGTTCAGCCTCTTGCTTCCTCCGCTCTGCCTCTTGCTGCGACCGCTTTGCCTCCGCTCTCTTAGCCTTCTCCTCCTTTAGCGCCTCGGTGCTCTCGCGCGCGAGCTCCTGAGCCATGCTGCACTCAGCGGTGCTCGCCGCCTCGCGCTATTTACTTTCGACTCCTGCTCCTTTTCTGTCAGCGCTTTCTGTGCGGCGGCAACACCGCCCCTTTAGACCGCGCGCTGTGTGTTTGACGCTGCGCAGGCGGCGTACACAGACTGCCCCGACGCCTGTTTGTACTTGGCTTGGTTTTTCCTGAGGTTTTTCGCGGCTGGCCTGCCGCCGCCACCAAAAACGCGCCTCGGGCATTGGCCATACAGCTGAAATTTGTAGTTTTTTTTGGGTTGTCCATCCGCCCTATAAACTCAAGCATAAACCGAGCTTGCAGTGTCTTCTGTTGGACTTGTGTCCAGATGTGTTTTGTTCGTTTTGTTCGTTGTTTGTTTTTCTCCCATCATTGGACTCTGTCGTCTGCCCCTCTGGCCCCTACCCTCCCACTTATACTAGCTAGACGACCCAACCGGGGTCACAAAGGCAGGGGGGGTTGGACCCCCTCCTGCGGTTCCTGCCTGAGGTATTTTTATCGCGAGAAGGGTACAGCAATCCCTTCCCTCGCGACTTACGAAGTCGATTATGGTTTACTAACAAACGAGCTTTGCAGCGCGTCGCTTTCATCCTAGACCCCTGGGATATATTTAGTGAGAAAAAAACTCTCTCTGCCGGGACTCGAACCCATGACCTGGCCCTTAGCAGGCTGCGAGGCTACCCACTAGACCACCAGGGCGACCGGTGTGTGTAATGTATGAAGAGCCACGTCGCTGCCTGGACGCAAAGCTACTTGCACAAAGTACGGAGGATAAAGTATACTTTGATCGGTATGATTCAAGAGCTGACTTGAGAACCAAAAAGTCCGCGTGCCCCCATTTTTTTTCTCAAAAGCGAAGGATTGACTGACGAAGTAAGGGAAATGGGAAATGTGCGTTTTGTGAGAAGCGGCAGAAATAAACCTTTGGCCAATCAGAAAGCAGGAAGCAGATGAGCGTGTTGGTTTCTGTTTTCAGTCTACTCGCTTCGCCGTGTTTACCGCACACACGTGCTGAGTAAGGGAAATGTGCGTTTTGTGAGAAGCGGCAGAAATAAACCTTTGGCCAATCAGAAAGCAGGAAGCAGATGAGCGTGTTGGTTTCTGTTTTCAGTCTACTCGCTTCGCCGTGTTTACCACACACACGTGCTGAGTAAGNTTACAAAACGCATATTTCCCTTACTTCGTCAGTCAATCTTTCGCTTTTCTCGATGCTTTCGAAATTTGTCATTATCATTTTGCGTGCCCCCTTTGCTCGCCAAGGGGGAGGGGAAAAGAGCGTAGACCAGGCAGGGCCACACCACACACGCCCCCGGTCTACTCCTTACGATCAGTATAAACATCAGCCACCCAACAGACAGAGACATAAACTCTGTCTGCCCCCCACAACCGCTGATAGTACCACACCGGCGTGTTCATACTGAAACCACGAGAGAACCCCACTAGGCCCATCAACATTAGTTTTGCCATTTGGCGAAACACCCGGGCCACCAAAGAAAAAACCCATTTCTCGTCTCTCGCTACTCTCTGTTCCCCTGACCTTCAGATCGCACTGCAGAAAAACACGCATGTACCCGGACACCAGGACACCCACATATAAGCCATATAATATGTATGCGTATCCACCAATCAATCAGACTCGTCACGCACGTAACGGGGAAGCGCGTAGCACCAACATAGCCACACACAGCAGCCAGGAGTGCACTCCCCCAACCATGCAACGGTCCGATACACCCAACAACATGCGTCCTGCATATAAAACCTGAAATGCGATATACACAAATCCCACCCAAAAATAAATGGGACGAGCACCTCGGAACTGCGCCCAGCACAGGCACACGCAACCCCGACTGCGGCT